AATAAATAAGGGGGTGTTAAAGCACTATAGTATATTCACTGCCAAAACTATAAGGTCATCGGTAATTTATTGCCCTGAAGACTTTAAAGTAGCAATTCTGAGTGGAGTGCCATTTGTGCCTTGAGCTCATTTCCATCTTAAAAATATGCTTAGTATTGAATGCCTTATTTAAGATCCTAGACAATGTTCAATGTCATGTTTCCTAGAAGAATAAAATTCCTTGTGCCTACTCTAGATACAACTTGCAAGTTATCAGCATATAAAGAAAGTATGTCTGTACACAATAACGCTATTTAGGGTTTATATAGTATTTTAATGTCTGTATAGTGCTTTGAACTTGTAATCACAATTACACCTTTGTGAGGCAGGTAAATGTTATCCATCTTTTAGACCAGGAAAATAGACACTGTGGGGATAAAACACTCACCTTGGTTGAAAGTAACTGAGTGGCAGAGTTAGGATTATTAGAATTTTGTAGTGCCAAGGGTTCAATGCTACAGTGAATCAGAAAGAAAAGGGGAGCAAATTCAAATCTTATTGTTACTCCAGCAGACTCTGAAGGGTGATGGGAGCACGCATACACATCTGAATCATTAAAGGTCATCTTTGCTTTAAAATAGGATCTCTAGAGAAAACACTAAAAATGTCCTTTTCTCTTTAATTAGCAATTCATTTTGATCTTGCACTATGAATAACCTGAAATATACCCATTATAGTCACTCAGTGCTGCTATCAGCAAAACACACGTAATATGCAAAATGGATTAAAATAGCTCCTAAATGACAAAACCGATTTCAGGGTTCTACTATGTGAGGCGTTCTACAAACCCATTAGAGCAGGGACAGTTTTTTGTAAAGAGAGTTTGTAAACAAGGCAGATCAAGGGCAGTAGAAACCAAGTAATATGTCCACGTTACGGCTAGAGAACCGAGGTACAGAGATTAAGTAACTTGCTCAAAATGACAAGGAAAATCTGTTAGAAGCAGGAATTGAATACACATCTCCCAATCCAGTACCTAGACCAGAAAATCATCCTCTCTTCTAAAATCTGTTCATGCTGGAGAATGCAGGCAATTGTCCTGCTCCCTCTTGATCCAAGCAAACAAACATCTAGTTGAGCTTTATATAAAGCCCCAATCCTGCACTAGGTATTGGATAGATGCAGGATTGGGGTTGCAGTCTGAAATTCAATTACTACAGAGACTTTAAAGTTAATACCTTATTGTTCATATAAAATTTTCCATACTTTGCACTATTATACTAACTACCATGCAAGCACCTTAAGATTGCTTTGCAAACATTTATGAACGGCGCCTCAGAATACCATTGCTGTCAGGAGGGGAAATATTATATTCCCATTTTACAGATGAGTGCACTCAAAAACAAAACAACCCTTAGCACTTAAGACACTGAATGCACTCCTGCACTTTAGGATTTCAACAACAATTACTTATATAGTGCCTTTCATCCACAGATCTTAAAATGATTTACAAAAGCAGATTAATATTACCACCTCTGTTTTACAGACAGGGAAAAGGAGACAGAGCCCTGAACTGAGCAAGGTCACAGCAGAACCAGCAATAGAAAGAGCTCTGATCTCCCAACTCCCAGACCAGTACCCTATTTATTGGGCAATACTGCCTCACATGTACTTACATATTTGCTTGTGTGCAACCACAGCTGGCAGGTGCACCAGATATTTTAGAGTGCAGCTTTAAAATTATTGGCTTCACTGACTTGTATGCAAAATCAAATAATGTGGCAGAGTTGGGACTAGAGAACACAGATCTTCAAACTCATCATTCTGGTTTTTAATGACTATGTCAAATAAGGAAAGTATGTCTGTGTAAGCGGGGGAATGGTCCCGCTATTGTGGGGAACTTTCCTGGCTTCTGCACTACCCCGGTGAAGTGGGCTAGCGAAAGGATCTGAGTCCTCGCTCCCACTCCCTTGAGACCCAGAGGCCTCCCTGCCCTTGAGGGCTCCCCTTCCACTCTCCTGTCTGGCAGAGTCCTCGTAACCCCAACAAGGCTGGGCCCAGGATTCCTGGGGGGCTCAACCCCCAACCCTGCTATGGTCACCTAGGACAGGGGCTAGGGTGTCCCCACTCCAGGGTACTCTCTCTGCACTGGGCACCTCCCTGACCCACTGATTATTCCATACAATTTAAAACAAATACAAGTTGTTTAATTAACAATTAATCTAAAGAAAAGAATAAGGAAAAATGGGAAAGGTTAAAGGAAAACATCACCCTGCTTTGTGGCAGGGAACATCACAAACAAACAGTGTCTCTGGACATCAGGGCACTTCACAGTCTGTTCCTTGTAGGTCCCAGATTTCCGTCTCAGGCCCTGGCTGTGCTGCAGGTATGCTGCGGGTTGGACACTTGCAATGGTGGTGGCCACACAACTCCGGGCTTTGAGTGGTGGGACCCTTCTTCCCAGCGTCAGCCCCCTGTCAGGTTAAGGTCCCCCTCCCGGTCTGGCCTGCAAGGGCCCTTGTCTGGGGGTGTCTTTCTGTGCTGGGCCCTTTGCCCAAGGTCCCCCCTTGGCTGGCCCCACTTGCTCACCACACCTGGCTCTGTGGCTGCAGCTCTGCTCCCAGCACAGGATCTGCTCTCCCTGGGCTGCGTCTCTGGCTCTGTGGCTGCGGCTCTGCTCCCAGCACACGATCTGCTCTCCCTGGGCTGCGTTTCTGGCTCTGTGGCTGCGTCTCTGCTCCCAGCACAGGATCTGCTCTCCCTGGGCTGCGTCTCTGGCTCCTCTGGATCTGGCACGGTTCTGCTCTCCAGCTCAGCTTGGGCCCCTGCTTTCTCCTTAGCTCGGCCCCACTCAGTCTGACCCAGGCAATTCCAGCTCACACGGCGGACGGGACCTCCCTGGCCTCCTGACCCTCTGATTAGCTGTCAATCAGGCTGATCTGGAGCATTGGCCTCTCCCCATTGTTCTTGGGGACTGTCAGTCTCAGGCTCCTGATTTGCCATCGACCCTTCCCCTTTTAGTGCTGGGAGCTAGCCAACCAAAACACCCCCACTGAATGTTAGTAAGGGGGCAACAGTCCCCTTACATCTGTCTGAGGCAATCAAAACAGGAGAGAAGGTAAGAAATGGTCTTCAAAAGGTGATAGTGAGTACAGAGAATTGGTAGCCAAACTACTTGTGCTTTAGCTTGACCCTATTATGTTGCTTCTAATTTTCACCTCATCTTTGATTTAGCTTCCACTTGACATGTTTTGGGCCTGGGCCACACAGAACTCCATGCCAGACTGTTTCCAATTCCCAGTGTTTTGCCTTGCTTAGAAAGTTAAATTGCTGAAATATTTGCTAGAATAAATAGAGGTTAAGTGTGAAGTCAGTAGGTGAGCTTTGCTTCATGGATATTGATATAAAAAGCAGTTGCCATTCTACTCTGACTGATCTAAAGAACAGATGTTTGTATATGATTTATGAACACAAATGTGTACATCTTCCATAAATAGTAATGTGTTCCAGTAACAAACTGAGTAGAGAATTCTAGCCCATGAGGGCTAGGAAACTGCAGGCAGTATTTGAAATTGTCCATTAATTCTTGGTTTTAAATGAAAAACAGACTATAAATCCAATCCTGTAATCCTTTCGCATTTGAATGGTTCCTCTGATTTCAAAATAGGACTATTCATGTAAGTATGGCATAATCAGACCTGATAATACAGATGTCTGTTTAAGTTAATTAAATGTAATTGAACCAATAAATAATGACATATTCAATATACAGTAAATGCACTTTGGAAACCTTACATTAATATGACCTCGTTTGCATTTTTGTCACTATCAGAATTTTAGCAAATTTCCAAAGCTAAAAATTTCATGGTTAAATATTCACCGAAAGCCTCTAGTTCTCTGAATAATTTCAGTAAGAGTAATCAAATATCTGATCAAGCAAATAGGTCATCACCACTGCTCACACTTGCACTGGTCCTAAACTATTGTGGTTAAACAGCATCTCATTTCTCAGAAAGATTGTGTTGCAGACGTGTAATATTACCTGATGTGTTTAATTTTAACAGCACAGTTAATTTTTGGACAGCAAGTTTACTCAAAAACCATCTTCAATAGCCATCAATGAAATCTTCTGGACTGAGGGAACTATGTATTTATTCAGCAATTTGCCCTGTAGGTCACAAAGTTTTAAGAAGATTTCTATAGCTGCTATTTTATTTCAAAGCAGGTTTTCTAATATGCCAACATTTATTCTTTAATTTCATGGGCAGTGGCATTACACCAGGAATAAATTTGGTGCATAATATAGTTTTCATAAATAATATATACACACACACACACACACACCATATCACTAGAAAAAATGGCTCCATAAGTGGCAGAATTTACACAAAGCAATCTATTATGATTCATATTGAATATAACATTTTCCTGGTCTGTGTTATTCTGGTAAGTGGTATTGCTCTGACATTTTACACAGCTGCTACTCTTTTCCCCAGAGGTGGCTGCATTTCACTGGTGGGTGAAAGTATTCCCTAGAACATCATTTTGCTCCAGTACTACATAAGGATATTAAAATGTTTTCATAAACTTTAAGGCCAGATGGGACCATTATGATGGTCTAATCTGATCTCCTGTGTACACCAGCCATCGAACACCACCAGTAACTCCTGCATTGAGTCCATATTTAGGAATTGATTCTGCACTCCTAACACACCCCAAACTTCTATCCACTTCCATTAGGGTTTGTAAAAATATTGTGAGATCAGATAAACGGTGAAGCAGTATTAGGTTTTGTTGTCGTCTTTTATCCATGTGCTGCAGAAGTGAATGCTTCCTTCCCACCCTCTTTCTGCTACAGGAGGACTTCCTTTCTTGCAGTGTCCATAAATTTTTACTTTTAACATATAACACAAAGTTTCATTTCAATAATTGACTTGCGTTGGACAGCCAATCAAGGAATAAAATAAAGCTTCTGTTGACAATAGTCAAGTGGATTCTTTGTGTGTGTTACTTTATTTCAGGTCCAGTGTCAATACATTATGAAGATGTGGCATTTGAGAGGGTTTTCTTTTAAATGGAGGAACACCATGGAGAATGGAACAGAAGAACAGGTAAACTGGTTTTAAAAGGGAATAAAAAGGAGCCAATAATTATGCCTCACTCTGCTTGCAAATCATGATCAGGACCTCATATGGTGTGAACTGGCCTAGCTCTATTGATACCAATAGAGCTATGCCAATTTATAGTAGCTGAGGATCTGTCTTAATAACATTTTTAGACACTGCCACTGGAATTCACACTTTAGTGTCAAAATTGAAAAACTTTGAAAATGCACTACCTTTCTTCCTGTCCCCAAGTGTGTAACTGAAGGCTTGCTGACTGTGGGAGATTAATGGAAGTAGCCAATAACTGTGCACAAGTGATAGTTTGTGACACATGCAGAACAATGTGGTTTTGCCCCTTGCTTCTAGACAAATGAATATTTATATGCAAGACCTAATTTTCCCTCTAGTAACAATTTAATAACATCAAGGGGATGCTATTAACTGTTAAATGTTGTCAGTGCAAGTTAAAGATGCTGTAAGCCACTCAAAGCATTTACCACCGAGCTACATTAACATAATCTTTCAATCAGTGCAGAAGCTGCATAGAATTTTTTTTTTAATGTATCCCTAAAGAGAGATGCTAGGAGTGCAATTCTTAGAACCTGTATGTACTTGCAAGAAATCCCCAATTCCAGACTATTTGTACAACCAGGTGCTTTTCTTAACCGTCTCACTGCTTGTAAGGGCAGCAAGATAGATTCAAAAGGATGTTCAATGCAGGCAGCATGGATCCAGACTTATTTGGCATCTATCATGTATTCCCCAATGGGTGGGTGGAGGAAGGAAAAAGAAGGGGAGGGACAAAGAAAGAGAGCAGGGGAAAGTTTCAAATTAGAGCTACAGTCACTATTTCTAAATGGGGAAAGGAAGCCTAAATAACTGTCCCATATAGGGAAACTGATAAACATGAGTGGTAGTGAACAGTGAAATCTAGTTGCTGATATTAGCCAATATTATGCAGTTGAACATTCTTCTTTGAGAACAGATTAAAAAGTCAAGATGTGGACGCCCGTTAATTAAGAGTCGAGATGTAGCTTCCGCAGCAGCAAAGTAATTGTTTGTGCAGCACACACACACACACACACACACACACACACACACCCCATATCTTCAATTTAGGTCAGGCATCAAGAGGAGGAAAAAAGGACTGGAGACTGAAGATGAGATGCTCTATTTCACACAGTTGCCCTCTGGAAGGACTGGCAAAGGCAGTCACTTAAATTAAGTGCAGGTCATCAGACAAGATATCTAATCTATTCCTGAAACAGACAACCTCAACAGCCCAAATCCCTATGGCCTTTACAGCGACACAATGAACTGCTTCCTCATGTACCTCTGTCAATTCATGTTAGGTTCCTACTTTTTAAAAAGTGATATTTCATGTACACTATGACCCTATTGCTCATAGCAAGGAAAGTGCTTTGGTTTATTTATGACCTACTAACCTTAAATAAAAAAAAGCATACAACTAATTTGAATGTTCTCATAAGCCTGGAGATTTGAAATAAAACTTAAAATAAATCTGGCATTTGTAGCACAGCCAGCTAAGCTATATTTGCCCAGTTGGGAATTTTTTTTTTTTTTAAATGAAAACCAGATGACAAGAGGAAAGCATTATTACCCTGCATAAACTTCAAGGTTTGGGCATCAGAACTGCAGCTCATGAGTGCCTGGATTTCCCATGAGCCTCTGCTTCCATCAGCATAGAGTTAAATAAAGCAAGACTGTGGTTTTACATCTATCTCCAGTCTAGAAGACTAGAATGAAAAGCCAGCTGTAGTTTTGGAGATAGAATTTAACCCAGCCACAGAACCTAACCTTGGAAATAGAGACGTTGGTTATCAGCCAGACAAGATCGTTTGTTTAAAAAAAAAAAGTGACAGAGAAGGAGAAAGAAATGAAGAATAAAAAGCAAACATCCTCCATTTTCTATGCTAAAATGTGAGTGACCCTAAACTCTACTCATTGAACAAATGCAGATAGGAACAAAGGCCTATTGAATTCAGGAGCCTGTTTCTCCACTCATTCATGATGATGTAAATCAGGAGCAACTTCATTTAAGCCAATGGAGTTGCACTGGAATAAAACCAGTGCAAGTGAGCAGATAATCAAACCACAAGACTGTGGTCTGCTATATGTGGATACATCACAAGTTCTTGGCTGTACTGGCAAAACAAGTTTACTCTGCATTTACTTTGAATTCTGAAGCTTTCACAATCGCAAGTGATACATTTCCCAGGCCAAAAAAAAAGGGGGGGGGGGGGGGGGGGGAGAAAAGGGAAGCATCCTGTCTACAAAGCACACTATAGCCCACAAAAGAAAAAGGACCCCAGTTTATAATTTTAAATTAATGGAGATATCCCATCTCCTAGAACTGGAAGGGACCTTGAAAGGTCATCAAGTCCAGCCCCCTACCTTCACTAGCAGGACCAAGTACTGATTTTGCCCCAGATCCCTAAGTGGCCCCCTCAAGGATTGAACTCACAACCCTGGGTTTAGCAGGCCAAATGCTACTGCAATCATGTCTATGTGCACCAGTATGATTTTCTGTTGGATAAAGGACAGCAAATCATTTATCTTAGTTTACTATTACATGTTAAAAAAGTGGGGCAATCAATTCCAGTATATGCAGGACAGATCACTTAAAAGAAATAGCTATGACTTAAAATCCTTGCTAGGGAGCCTTATTTACCATACTAAAGGAAATAGCACACAGTCATGGTATGTGGTATCTTTTAGCTTTGGGTTCCTATTTATGCAAATATTAGCAAGTTGATGCTTGAAGTGACTGAAAATAGGTTATGCATTGAAATGCCAAATATACCACACCCCCACTTGGAAACAAGATTTCAGATGCAGCATTTAATGAAAACCAACGAATTATCAGTTTCACGATAACTAGTTCTACTGCACAGTAAGATAAAGACTCTAGTTGAGCTTGAACCTTTCAAGGGAATTCTCTTCTGCAGGCCAATTCTACTTGCCAGTGCAGAGAGTAAGCAAGGTAGATAAGTCTCACTCTCACATCATGCATCGGAAGAAGTGGGTATTCACCCACGAAAGCTCATGCTCCTATACGTCTGTTAGTCTATAAGGTGCCACAGGACACTCTGCTGCTTTTAAAGTCTCACTTTGTCCTCTGATTCATACTCGTGTCTTTCCACTTCCCAACCCTTCCAATTAATAGCCAAGGAAGACAAATCTTTGTTGCGTTACACATGAATTGCAATACTATGTACACTTCCATTTTTCTAAAAGCCAGTTTTGATAGAAGAGAAAGTCTAAATGAACTGGCAAGGTTTAGAGGAAAGGCAAACAACTTCCATTATTGCTGGAGCCTTATCAGAAGGAGCACTTCACGAAGTGTGATCATCCAATCCTTGATATGGACAAGACACTTAAAAACAAACAAAAACAAAAAACTTGCCACACATCTCACTGCACGCCAAGAAGGAATCTCTAAGTTAGAATGACTCAGATAAGTTCACCTCTTACTCTCATGCTAGATTTTCATAACAGGTGGAGCCAACTCCAATTTACATTTAAAGAATATCTAACACTGCATCAGACTGCAATTTGATTACCTCTAAACTAGTATAATGGGATTTCAGTTGACTTCTTAAGTTAGGCAGATGTGTGTGGTGGATAGGTATGTAGAAAGGCTTTCTAAATTAGACTAACTGTATGGGTTGTATAGAAACATTTGAAGAAACAGGATGCTCCTTTTAGAACAGACAATTAATTTAATATAGTACTACTGGCATATATGGTAATTTACAAAGAGAATGAAGTAGTTCTACTTCCATCCTCCCCAAGAAGCTTATTGAGAGACATATGCTGCTTAAAACAGTCAATACCTGACAATCTTAAACAGATTCAGGTTTGACTGAATTCACCCAGCAGAAGAGACTTTATTGGGACTGGGCAATCTATTAGTGACATTGCAGGTTCATTGTGCTTTTACCCAGATGTGTAGAAGTATGGGATTACACACTTTGATTACACATGGTTTGACTGACAACCCTAGATAACTTTGGTCTAGATTTCTAAACTAGATAAATAAAGCTTTTCAATAAATGAAACAGACCTTTTCTTTTCATAGGATCAAAGCCTGGAGAGTTGCCAGTTCCTTGCTGTAGGATTATAATAGAACGGGCCCAGGAAGGTGGGCGGTGGTGCTAAGGGAACAGTGACAAACTGCATAATCTGTATGATTAAAACCATTGTGTCAGTTATGATTTTCCCCCCCTTTCAGATTTTTAAGGATGCTGTCAAGTCAGTGGAGTTCTCTTTTTAGTGGTTGCTTCAGTGAACATTCAACGCTGTCGGTGAGTTTGGAATTAAAGTGAAAACCATCGACCGTTGATTGTACCCTCCAGCTAACCATCATCCTCCTTACTTCATGCTTTCAGGCCTTTCACTGAAGACAGCTGCCAAACCAGCACACAAGGTATCTCTTCCCCCCACCCCATCCTCTTTGCAGAGCTTTACTAAAAAGGTCACAATCAACATTCATTGCTGTCGGTGGGTTTAACTATGTGGACAAGCTCACTGAACAATGAATGCAACTGTGGCCCCACTTTTTGTGATCACAGTCAAGAGGAATATCAGCTCTGAAAGCAGCATTGAAAGTCTTTCATATATGAAACTTTTCTGATCAAAAGACGAATATCTTCAGGATTTTTTTTTAAGCTGGTTTGACTCAGATGGTTGAGACAACACTCACTCCTCCCTGGAGTTGATTACAACATAAAGGGAGTTCATTCTGCCATTAATCTCTCTTACTTACTATAGATATTAACAAAAACTCTGGTATAGAAAAAGCCTCCCTGTATGCACCCCCGAGGACTCTGAACACAGGAGGAGAGATGGTTGAAAACGTCTCTAAAAAAAAAATCAAATATAATAATAATAATAATAAAAAAAAAAATCTATGTACTGCAACATTGCACATGCAGAGAGATGATGGCTATGTGTGTCCTTGGCAAAACAAGACAAACTCACCCCAAAATTTCTTACAAATGGGAGCCTTAGTTAAAGAATGGCGATAATATTCCTGATCTTGGTGGAATACAATTCATTGCTTTGTGAAGTTTATTTAAACACCTAATAAACATTAAAAAACACAAACCTTATTGGACTTGCCTCTTTGTACTGTTTTGAGATAAGCCGGAAAGAAATTACTTGTATGGCTGGTAACAAAGTTCAGCTCATTGTTATAAATTATGGAGCTGTGAGTGGTCATGCTATGTTCCCTGATGCCAGGTATAAGGGGAAAAAATAAAAGGAAAAATTGAAGTACACCACCACTTTCCCAGCCCCACTCGTGCTTCACCCACAAATCTCAGGCATCAACCTAAATTTCTATCACCAGCTGAATGGGTACTGAAACATCATGTAATTCTCTAAGCCAATTTCAGCCATTAGCTTCAGTTTCTAGTATGTTGGTGAGTTTTTGCATAGACATTACTTCCAAAAGGAGAGGAATGACAAATCATTTCATTTGTCTCTCCCTTGTGACACGCATTACCACTGACAAAGTCTGCTTTTTACTATGCATATAAAGAGAAGCTTCAACACATTTCACCTAAGATTTCTTTCTTACCTTAATATGTACCTGTTTGTCTGGCCCTCATCCTGTACTATCTGTGCTCAGATACAAGTAGTGTATTATACAGTACCGTGGTAATGAAATGGCATTTTCTTCTGTAACTTGGTGGTGATGGGGTGATTAAAGAATAATTTAAAAAAAAGTTAGATTCACAACAGAGATCTGACATGGATCAAATCACATAGGAAGAGAACCAGTTCTCTAAACAAATATCCAAAATTCTAAGGCCATGTCCTCCTAGAAACATATGGATTTTTAGTTAACTTGATGCTGTGTGGTACCCTTAGTATGAAGATACATTTTGCTTTGTTCCAGTTACTGCGATAAAGAGGGGATAGCTCCAGGTGAATTGATGTTGGAGACCCTGCAAGGTTCTAGACTGGATTCATTGGGGCCTTTGTTCCATCACTTTTCCTAAGGTTCTCTTCCTCCCAGCCCAGGGTATTTTAAGTGGTACCCACCAACATCCTCTCTCTGTGTTCTCTCTTCTTTTCTGGCATGGTGCCCCAGATGACTATAGAATTTCTTACTCTAAGGATCCCAAAGGTATATTAAAAAGGAAGCAGTTTCTCTGGAGATCACAAAAGCTACATCTTATAATCGAAAGTAGTAACTTTCAGATCAAGGTGCAGCTAATATCTCCTGGCATCAGTGTGAATTCAGATTCATTTAAACACAAGTTATAATATGCTAGATCCTGTTGGCCTCAGTGAGCCTCTTAAATATTAGCTATGCTGTGTTATGAGTTTATAACTAGACGTGGTATTTATCTGAACAGAAGAGCCTGGAATTTGGCAACATGGGAAGAATATCATCCTGGTATGGAATCATCCTTACATAGAGAAGTAATGGGAATCATTCATGCTCTTTGGTTAGCAAAATTGCAGACTAGAATTGGTGTGGAGATACGAACTTCAGCTCCACATAGAAGGAAGCTGATTTTGAATATATGGTTTTGTATAAGGAATCTTTCTTTATAATAATCTTTTGTTATCTTCCTGTGTCAGAGGAGCTCTACCTTATTTTGTTTCCTGCACTGATTCAATATTACTTAACATTTAATTTAAATAGTTTTGAGAGAGAGAGAGAATATATGCATGTATATATAAACATTTTCACCTGGACCAGGTTATAGTATGCCCTCACAGCAGCAGTGGGTTATGAAATTAAGCATGACATGTAGGCTGACCCTATGTGAATTTCAAGACATATCACAGATACATGGATGTAAGAGCATTTGGACAGATAAAGGAAAAACAGAAAACAAAAAAGCCAAGAATTTCTACAGCAAGTTCCATCTCACATACAGAAATGTTTGGCACATGTGTAATGGTGTGAGCCATCAAGGACTATATATTACCCACCCACTATTAGTTAGGTTTACTGAAATACTTGTGGTATTTCACACTGAAATTATAGGGGATGCTAGAAATTACAAGACAAAAGTAAATAGTATGGTTTAATAACCAGCTATGTTTTAATGGTATTGACTGTAACTTCCTCTGATGCATGAGGATGATGCCCATTAATGGAAGAAGAGATTTAACTCTATTTAGACACAAGATACCTCATTATAGCCAACATATTGCATAGTATTCCTCCTGACCAGCTAGTTTACAGACCACTTACTTGCATACAATACTATCATTATAAAAAAATGCACAAGACAAAAGTATTAGGCCAGGGGCTGACCCTGTTAGTAATGATTATTCTGAAGTTCCATGGAAAGGTCTCATTTCTATTTTTATGGTTTGTTGATATTATATATAATGTTATAAATCCCCATGGATCAGAGGTCTTCTGCAAAAATGGCCAGGAACAATGCCATTGTTAGTAATTCACTCACAGCAATATATACTATGAGGTCAAGCATATCAAAGCTACAGGGAATGCAATGGATCCTGACTGTTAATATTAATACTAGTTTTTAAGATTTATCTTCCTTATAGAAAGACGAAGGCGGTAAAATACAGTTCTCTATTTTGATAAACCACTTGCTGTTCCCCCATCAGTAGTCACAACAGCATGACTGGAATTACAGCACAGCCAACTCTGAGCAGTTGACAAGATTTAAAGAAAAAATTCCTCTGAGTGTTCCTGCAGTTAGCCTGACCTCCTGCATAACACAGGCCAGAGAACTTCACCCAGAAATTTCTGGATCAAACCCTGGATTTACGTTTGAGCTCATAGATGCAGACTTTAGATGATCACAGTGGTCCTTCTGGGCTTAGTCTGACCTCCTGCACATCGCAGGCCATGGTGCCTCATTTAGAAAGACCCAGTTTTGACTTAAAGACTGCAAGGGATGAAGAATCTCATGTTCATTATCACAGAAGGAAGAACACTTCAAAGTCATTACTTATGCTACATCTACACTAGGAACTGAAGAGCACCCAGTTCTTATACTCTAATTGCCTCACATGGTCACTGCTGGCATGAACTAAAAAGGTACCTAGTTTGCATTAATGTAATCCTGTTGATAAAAGACAAACTAGGTACCTTTTTAGTTCATGCCAGCAGCATCCACATTGGGCAGTCAAAGTGCAGTACACGAATGCCCTATGCAACTCCCGCAGTCCAAACTGAGGGGCTGTGTAGACAAGTCCTTTGTCTACAATACTACTATGAAGGAGGAAAATCTTATCCCTATTTTACAGATGGGGGAAATGAAGTATGTAGAGCAGGGGTAGGCAACCTATGGCACGCATGCCGAAGGCGGCACACAAGCTGATTTTCAGTGGCACTCACACTGCCCGGGTCTTGGTCACCGGTCCGGGGGGCTCTGCATTTTAATTTAATTTTAAATGAAGCTTCTTAAACATTTTAAAAACCTTATTTACTTTACATACAACAATAGTTTAGTTATATATTATACACTTATAGAAAGAGACCTTCTAAAAACATTAAAATGTATTACCGGCACGTGAAACCTTAAATTAGAGTGAATAAATGAAGACTCGGCACACCACTTTTGAAAGGTTGCCGACCCCTGATGTAGAGATTAAATGACTTGCCCAAAATTACACAGGAAGTCTGTAGAAGACCTGGGTTCCATTCCCAGGTCTGCCAAGTCCCAATCACATGTCTTACTGGGAAGAAAGGAAAATTCTCTTAACCACAAGAACATCCGATGATGTAGCCCACCTTTTTTTGTTCTACATTCCAACACTGCTATTTGTCCTTCTGTATTTGCAACTACTGTACTTTATTCTCTTTTCTTCCTTTATATTGTTACTCCTCAAAAGATACCTAGAAACCATAATCAGGTTTAGGTTTATATTATGTGCCCAACCACTCTGAATTCTCTCTGCTGTAGAAGTAGTGGGGTATATACATTTAAAGAGCAAACAGACAGGCATGTTCAACTGTAACTTCCTTATTCACCCTTAAATCAAATTCTACATCTTTTTTGCTTTTCATTGCATTGTTTTATATCCTCCGCAAACTATAGGTACCAGAAATTCACACAATATTCCAAATGCAGGCAAGTCAAGGCTCCCTAAAATGAGCTTTTAACTCCCATCCCTTTCAGCCAAGCATAACAATGCAGTGCCATTACAAATGCCAACATTTACATTTATCTACCATCATTCCTTGCTGAGTCCCAGATAGCCAAGTCCACTTTGTATCAGTGTATTTCATCTCACTGCAATGCAGGACTTAGCATTTGTTGAAATTAGAGCAATTTCTCCAGAACATAATTTCCCTTCAAAACAACAGACATTTCTCTAAGATTTTAAAACTTAAAGAAAGTGGGCAGCATGCATTAGCAGGCAAGAACATAAACAGCAGTCTCTTATAACATGGCTATTTAAAACAATTTATTTACCAGAGCACTTTACCACCAGCCCTTAAAAGCCCCCCCCCCCCCCCAAAAAGTGCAGGGAGGGGCTCAGAGAACCCCTTACCCCACCCCAAAACAAATCAGAAATTCTTCTTTAGGGCCTGTGAAAATTAAGTTCCATCTCATACACAGACATAAGAGTTGTCTTCAGAGTATGTGCATGTACCAAGGGAGCCATTAAAACCTTGACATTTACCATAAGCTATGCAATCAGGAAGCACTGCAGATATTGTGGTAAACCCAATTTAAATAATGAGGATTCCTGAAATTCTATTGTAAAAGTGAACAACCATCCAATACATCTTAAAATGGCACCCATTGTAAACTCCAATTAACACTAAAATGGAAGGTGGGGAGGACCCATTGCATAGTCTCTCTGCCCATAAAGTGGACTTCCTGGTTGTTCCCTCAAAAAAAAAAAAGTGAAAAACAGATGCAAACAAGATCACTTTTAGACAAAAAATTTCTATTCTGCTCCAGAGAGATCCAATGATGAAAGAGAAAGTGTCATGTTCACTAGCTCAGCATTGTATATTGAGATACTAGTTTCCTCCAGTATTTCACTTTGTCACAACCAGTGAGCATTTCCCCGAGGACTGCAAATGCTGACATACCTGGCACAACCATATAGTAATTTCTGTTATGAGACCTTCAATTTCTAATT